AGACATCCATATGTATCTATGTATGTACATACGAACATTGTATTTGGGAAGCGCGCGCGATCGCTCACCGTCCACAAGCGTTATTTGAAACATTGTTGAGCGAATACCTGTGTAGATGTGTTGAATGTCTGTATTGTATGACATCCGCACTTCTATTTTTGACATTTCTGACAGAAGCGGAATGCAGCATACAAATTAACGCATTTACAATTATTTTTTACATATATGTACCTAAACAATAAATAGTTGCGTTCTGCTATACAGATTTAATTTTTTTTTTTTTTTTTTGTACACACCTGACTTAACTTTTTGGCATTAAAAGGAACAATCAAATACATACTATTTATGTTTGTATGTATGTACCTACATTCAAATTCAAATGTTAATTTTATACTCACATCTGCCGCATGGAATGCCTGTTTAGTTTGCTGGTGGTCACTGGTTGCGATCAATTTGAGCTGAGGAGCGCCGCGAGCGTAGCGTTTTAATTATACATACATATGTATGTACGTAAAGCTTCAACAGCCAAATGTGTTGATGATTTGACTATTCGTCGACGCGCATGATTACCGGCCGGCCGGCCGGTCTAATGGCTCATTGTATCAATGAATGACCGCTCTGACTTTGGTAGGAATGCTGTTGCCCAAGAAGAATACCTCTTATTTGCGCCTTGGCTCTGTGAGACCATTGAACTTGTACATATTTGCGCGCCCAAAAATATTTCATGTCGTTATGAGCTTTTTCTTTTTGTTTTTTTTTCGGCACCAATTTTTTTTGTATGTAGTAGATACGTATTTTTGATTTGTATGTTTTGGGACACGCTTTTGTTAAACACTTTTGAAAAAATGTCTTTCTTATCAACTTGTAATCACACTCTTAGTTATAATTAATTACTCACACCATGGCTTTCCAAAACATACCTATCTAGTAATCGGCCTTATCATGAGTTCCATTTTCGCCCGAAATTGTTCACTTTTCACTCTTCGCTTTCGTGTATTCACTTCGCGCGGATGAAATAATGTCGGGTGAATTGGTTGCGAAACTCAGGATAAGGATTAATATGAATCGTGTGCCCAATATGACCTCAAACCCATACTAACATTCGAACATTTTACCGTTTTGCGGTTTCATTTTCCACTTTTCCCTCTTGGAGGAACAAAAAGTTTAGCAAATGACTGTTAATTACCTTAGATCGAATCGCGATCAAAGTAGAAGCAATAATGGCATGCACTAAATTTTTCTACGAAATTGCCCCAGAGTGGCTAATTAACCGCTTGTGAAATATTAATGTTTTTTTTTTTCTTTGTTTTTCTGCATAATTGTTGACTGGTGAACCAACGAAGTGGACTTGATGAAATTCACAAAAACCAAACAAAAAAATTGGAATTTTTTAGCATTTTTATGCTAAACACGTTGGTGACTAATTGAATGGCCGCCTAACTAAATAGTAAACTAGTCAACTGACCGTTACGATGTATTGCGAATGTCATTCAAAATTAGTCAGCTGAATTGTTGGCAGCCTATATATGTGCATATGTACATATGTACATAAAGTGAATATACTTCGATTTTATCGAAAACTTTGAATTTAGTATGTGCAAATGTGTACATACATATATATAAGCTTAGTTCATTTAGAAACGAGCGGCAAAAGAACACTCAACTCGGGTAAAGTTTCCTTTTAGCTACTTAAGCAACCCTGTGATTAGGTTAATGGGATTTATATACAAAAAACAGGAAAAAGGAAACAAAACATTTCCCTAAGCACTTTCTCATTAACAACACACAATAGCTCAGTTTATTCATCGGGTCGCCAATTGTTTAACAAACCTGGCTGAACTAGGATAAATAGGCGCATTTGTGTTCCTTCTTTCAGGGACGGAAAATTCTAATTTTTTTTTTTTAATATTAACCAAAGAAAAAAAAAATGAACCAGTAAAAATTTCAGATGCTTACGTACGTATGGCCTTTTAAATTTTATAGATAATCATTTTTTTTTTGAAGTGGAAAAATAAAATTCGATAAAAATTGTTATCCTGAGCGAAAAAATAAAAATCATTATTTGTGATCGAAAAAATAAAATCATAAAAGCGTGTTTAAATTTTTTTACTCATAACCAGGGAACGGATTTTTTGGAAATCGCCTTTTTTCTGCTAGAGATAGAGTATATTGAATTGAGGATGTCCACGATTTAGTTTTCCCTGATTCCATATTGATGTTGCTTTTTTTCAGATATTTCCCCTTTTTTTTTGCCAGTATGCAGCTCTCAAGAAAAGCCAAAAACTCCATATAAAATTACGTAAAAAAAATGGCAAAGAAATTTTCTTAAGGCAGTACGCAGTTCTTCAGAAATTTGCTATGAGTTTTTTTTTTGTGAAAAAAGAGCACAAGGCAACCCATGTTTGCAACAGAAATATATGCACGTTCCATTATTTTCTGAGGAAAGAGTGTGGCCTTGGATACACACATGAAATAATGGCAATTTTTTTCTTGCCCGTTCACTTGAGAGCTGCATACTGGCCTTTAGTTTCAAACGTTCCATATTTAAATTGGGCGCCACTTGTATGAACTCACGTCGAGCGCACGTTTAGTACATTCAAGGCGAAAATCGAATGAAAATGCTGTCGGAAAACTTCAAAATGCATTTTGTGGTTCAATGTTACTACAATTACAGATAATCAACTTTTGTAAATTAAAAAATCTAAAGGAAAAAATACAAAAATTCAAAGTAGAAATTTTTCTCTTTTTACTTGTAAAATAAACATTTCTAAAATAAATGCATTTTTTTTATTACTTTTCGGTTTTTGTCTTTTTTTAATGCCTTCTTTTGCCTTTTTTTTAGTGCCTTCTTTTGCCTTTTTTTTTGCGATTTCTAGGGCCGCCTTTTCCTGCCTATTTCGCTATTTTATTTTGCCTTTTTATAGGTTTTTAGGTCCTCAAAATGCGTTCCCTGCTCATAACACTGCCCAAAAAAAAAAATTCTGTTGAGTAAAATATTATAGCCGATTCTTATAGGATTTAACCTTTAACGTAAGTTGCTCGAAAACTAGAGCCAATCTAATATCTTTAGGGTCAGCTATAATATTTTAGTCAACATAACATTTTTTAAATTTTGTTGGCCTGTGTAATGATTACCGTCCCTGGTTTCTTTGCGTGTATTTTGTGACTTTACCGAGTCTTCTTTTGTAGCTCGGTTGCAAAAGCATGCATCTATAGATGTCCGCCGAAAGTACTACGCATTCATACTTCCTGCTTCTAATATGACTTACGTTCTCGTATATAGTATGTATGTAGTCTGTATGATTTGGCTATTGCGCGCTGGTATTTTTTTTTTGCTCGCCCACTGGATTTGATCATGCAGGCAAATGCTGTTTTGCTTCTCATTGCTCGCTTTAATTTAAAATGAATTTATCCATATCAATGCGTGTTTGTGTGTATGTATGTACCAGGGATGTTGCGAATGATTTGCATCACTTTACACATTCGCATTCGACATTCGCATTTGCATTAAATGATACGAATGTTTTGCGAATGCGAATGTATACATGAGCAGAGAGTCCACTGTAATATTGTCTAACCAGGGTGCGGACAATAACCGGCTTTTAGCTTCAGGAGCTAAACGGTTAAGTAGTGTATCAAGCAACATTGATGGGTAATCCTCAATTGAAGACCTATCTTAAAGAAAAACAAGCTTATCTCGGCGAAAATCCTTTCGATTGGTGGAAAACTAAACTAAAATACAACGAATTGACAGATCTGACCCGCAAATGTTTGAGCGCTCCACCCGTCAGCGTTCCTAGTGGGGGAAAAGGCAGAAAAATTACCTTTTTGAAATATAATATGCCCTTTTGAACTTTGACTACTAGATTAAAACACTGTGTAGGATAAGCACTCGTTCAATGTTCTAATAATTTGCAAAATTTTTAAGCAATAAAAACAGTAAATTAAGTTGACTATAGCTTAAGTTGTTATTCCTAACATTCGCATTCGCATTCCGAAAATTCGCATTCGCGAATGTGAAAAATATGACATTCGAAACATCCCTAGTATGTACATACATATTTTTGATGTGTGCAAATTTATATTAAGCAGAGCAATAACCGACAGCTGACGTACTGACTGCCGATGGATGACTCAACTCTTCTATGTAGATACTGTATTCAGTGATTGTTGAAATAAAATGCTGTTTGCGGAAATTACGTTGCCCCAATGGCACTCAAATAAAACGCTGCTGCTGCCGTCGTGGTTGCTCTATGTCTCATTGCTCTGCTGCTTCAATGAGTTAATGCCATTTCCGATCTCCTTTTCTGATAGCAACAACCCAGGAAACATTTTCAATCATACGCAACTCGAAATCTCGAAATCGATGATCTCGCCTGTCAGTTGTACGCAGTGCATCAGGGAAAGAAACAAGTATTCTTCTCGCCAGCTTGCGACCTCACCCTTTGTATAATGCATAATGTTTGCTGGCTTACTAAGTCTTTTTAATTGCTTCAAGTATCAGAAAAGGTTCACTTTTTCATCGCGGAATTATCCTCAAACACTCAACTATGCGACTTTAAAATGGCTCGAAAATTTTTTAAATCGCCGAAAAATCTACCAAATGCATACTGGGAATGTATATATGTACTAAGGCTGCGACTATCCGTATATTCGGATATTCATTAGGATATTTGTGCCTACAGATGAAATCCGGATGTCCGATTAATATCCCCTGATCTTGTTATCCGAATATCCAATTTTTTTAATCACATATCCGGATATACGAATAATAAGGGTTGTCCGGATATGTATACAAAAGATTCGGATAGAACTCCCAGCCCTAGTACATACATATGTACATAGTATGTAGATACTAAAAGCTCTCTGCATACTTTTTACGCGGCTAGCGCAAAATAAAAGCTCTCTCTGTCCAACGCTGTTTAAATGGAAACAAGGGTTTAAAAGTTGTAAGCTAACAGGTTTATTCGAAATAAAAAAGTATTGATAACGATAATGTCTATAAATAAAAATACCGATAACGATATCTATTTATTTGTGTAATAAATCGGGGCTAACATGATATTTGTAAAAACGATAACGATACAAATGTTATCGATAATATTAAAAAGTATCTCTGATCATCGGGAAGGAACCTACTATCGGCTCTAGTGATGGAAAGGCAGACAACTCCATCAGCTGTTATGATGCTGCTACATAGCCGTACAATTGGAATTTCGTAGGTTAATGCCATCTTAAAAATGCCAGTTGATTGATAGCATGGGGAAAGGATAGAAGACGAACAAGTTGAAGTTCAGCTTCAATCAAATCTAGTTGCCAGCAAGTAGCTTATCCTGTAGCGTACTTGAAATAGATTCGGCAAATTATGCTTTCCAGCGCATAACGTTCAGCATAATTGCACGGAAATTTAAATTTTTCTTAAATGTGTGTAAATTTAAAATTTCTAATTATGGCTATAGCTTTCGTGGAAAGATTTAACTCCTTTTCTGGCGTGTTTGACCTATTAGCGTTTAGCTCCATGCTTCGATTTCTCTCTGCTGTCCATACAACTTTTAGCCATTCTCTCGATTGATTCGTCTGGACTTTTCTGCATACACACTGCATTGCTTCGTTTCTCATTTGCCAACTCAAATTTTCTCAATTACATACCTAGTATATATATACATACATACCTATGTAAAATCTAAATATGTGTAGGGCTTTGTTCAGCGCTGTTTGGCTGGCTGCATCATTCGTTCGCTCATTCGGCGGCAGCCGGTTAAAATTTGTTGGCCGTTTCGCCGGCTGGCTCAAGTTGTAATGTGGTGGTGTTGTCTGTGCCGAGCGAAGTTGGCTTGGGTGGTTCCTCTTAAAAAGATGAGGAAAAAAAAGACAAATAAAAAAAGCTGCTAACAACGCTTTTAACTAGCAAAGTTGCATTCATTAGTATACATACATATTTCTTCAGTCTGCTTCATTTTTCATTCGTTTTTGCATTTGCGCGAATATTTTTTTTCAGGCTGCGGAATTTTTTCAATTTTAGTTTCACATCGTTGCTTGTTGCAGTTGCTTTTCAGTTGTTTTTCGTGCCACTGCATTATTTTGCTTTTCGTTTGCGGTTTGTTGGAAGTGGTCGGCACCGCACCACCAGCAAAGTGAGTCATTCACTGCTGCCATCGCGTTTGCCGCTGCTGCCGCCGCCATCGCCATTGCCATCTGAGGCTATGTGTGCCACCAGTGTGGCGTCATGTCATGTCGCCATCGCGCTCTGCAGTGTTGGCTGTGGCTGTGTGGTGCCACAATTTTTCTTGTAGCAGGCACAATTTTCGTACATAGCCTTGCTGCACGTCCGTTGCTCCTCCAGCCAAAAACACCGCTGGTTCACCCCAATCAACCATCGGCCAGTCAGTTGCTAAGCAAGCGTTCCCGCAAATCGTCTCCGTCTGCCGGCGTTGCTGTTGCTACTGGTGGTACTCCTTTGTTGCAACTTAAGTTCTAGTTTGCTAGTTATGCCATGCTTCTCGGTGTACATATATGTATACTTATTTGTAAGTCTATTTTGGTTTTTCTATTTCTATTTGTATCACTGCATGCAGCTGCAAATAATAAATCAACGCAAACATTACTGAATAGAATAACGTCATGGCTGTAATGACCCTAATAGGTGCCACCACGTCCAAATTGTTGTTTGTGTGTTGCGGGCTGGGCTGCTTGGGCCGAGTGAGTGAGAATTCAGTATGCAGAAATTTCCCCAGTTCTTCTCCCTTTTGACTTTGTTAGTAACTGCAGAGTCTTCGTTTTTTTTTATTTCGGTGAGTTATTTAATATGTTTTCGATTTCTGAAGGTTTGACGAATGATACCTAATAAATTAATAATCAATTCCATTAGTATGTTTGGTTATGAAAGTTCTTTTTGGTTTGCACACGACAGAACTTCTTGGACTTGAGGAAAACTGAAGAGAGCAAATACCTAAGAGAACTCAATTCATTTGGGTACTCTTCAGTAGGCCACACTATACGTTGGCACGTTTCGTTGCTTTATACTTAGTATCGCATTCATAACACATTCTATGGCCTAGTAACCAAGCTGATAGATTTGTTAGTTCGTATGCGCAGTAATCACAAGCCTGTGATTTTCCAATAGAAAAAAAAAAATACTTTTCAATTTTCAAAATATGGCAAATTGGTACAAATGTTGGCGAAAAGTAAATGAGAAAATGTTTCTATTGATTTGCCTAAAAGCTTTGCATTAACATCTTTTTAGCTACGCAAGTAGATATTTCTTCCTTCCTTTTTCGTTTACTTTTAGTAAGAGCTACATATATGGGCAAATCTAAAAAAAAAAACTGGTACTTTCTTGCTATTTCTAGTGCCTTTTCCAGCCTATTTTGTTATTTTATTTTGCCTTTTTTATAGGTTTTTAGGTCCTAAAAATCCGTTCCCTGGTTATGACATAATTAATTTTTCACCTCTTAAAAATTACATAAAAAATTCACTTGTTTTTAATATTTTTTGAATAAAAACATCTATAATTCAAAAGTTATGCAACAAATTGATTAAAATTTTTTTTTTTGAGGCTTCAAGTATACGTCTATGAATTATATCCAAAAGTAACCAGCTTGATATAGTTTGCAACAATGAAAATAAAGCTTATACAAAGGTTACCTGTTTTTTTTTTTAGAGTTGCCCAGCATACATAGTACATACATACATACCTTATTCTGCCATTATCATTTTCTATCTAGTTTGCGCCAAAAAGGTAAATTTTGCGTGGCGGCTGTGTCAACACAAATAAATTAACGCTTGAACGACTTGGTAAATAATTTCGTGTTTATTTTGCTGGCCTTGCTGCGGACCATTCAAAGTGAATGCCTGGCCAAATATTGTCTGGTAGAGCACGTGGCTATGCATCAATAATCAAATCCATTCGGTGCGGCATATTTTCCTAAGGGTGAAGCCAAGTACCCGAACAGTTTACATATCAATATAAATGCATAAGTTATTAGTAAAAACAGATATTTTTAAAGCAAACTTTCTAAATATGTACCAAATTGGACCATAAATACTGCTTTACCAAATATATCGACTCGTGCGCCACCTATCGGCAAAACTTTTAGTGGATCCTAAATATGAACCAAATCGGACTAACGGGTTTTTCAAATATCTCGACTCCTGCGCCACCTATGGGATTAACTCATCTTTCGTATTGCATTGTCGTCGGCTTCTGATGCATCAGTGAAGTTTCAAGTCTTTAGGTCATCGGGAAGTTGGTCAAAAATTGACTGCAAGATTTGCTCATCGAATTACAACTCCCCACATCGTTTTATGCAAAAAAATTTATACTTACATTTGGCATTTCAATGACGATTTTAGTTAAGGCCTTTTGCCTTTCAGGTGACAATATATTTCGTGATCTTGGGATCGTGTACGTTTTTTGAGCTAATTTTTCTTTGTTTTCAAATAAACAAATCCAACATAATGCCAATTTTAGTTCTGAAAACGGTAAAATACATCGTCTGCTCGAACATTATACAAATGTACATAATATTAGCATTTATGATCAAAAAGTCGTTCATAACCAGAGCTACCAGGCCACTCCATAAGGCGGTGTGGTTCGGTTCGACGGTCCGAACTATTTAGGAAAAACACCTGCCGGTGCATCAACCGTTTTGAGAAGACCTATAAACCGTGATTCCCTTCTACTCGATTTTGGTTCAAGAAGTTCAATTGTCACCTTATAATCAATTGAGTGCTTGGACAAGCTTCTTTTCGATACCTTTTTTCGATATCGAGAACTAAGTACCCTTTCGGTAGAGAATGCTAAAATTCTCGGCGGTTTCTCTAATCGTCGTCTAACCTGCTGCCTTAGACAAACACATTAGAATTTGAATCGTTCTCTAACCTAAATATTTGTTGCTGTCGCAATTGGCATTTCTATTGCCACTTTGTTTGTGTTTTTTGAGTGCCGTCAATTCGTTATTCGTTTTTATTTGAAAGGTTTTATTGTTACCAACTTGATTGGTTGGTCGATGGCGGCTCCTCCGTGCTCTATTTGTTTCACAAATAATTAATGTATTAGCTATTGTTGTCCCTCTTTCCATATCTTTAACTAGATTTTATGATTTCCTCAAACCGACTTGGTTACAGTCCAAATATTTTAACTACGCAGTTAAATATTTAAAATATTTGTTTGTATATTTGTTTAGTTGTACAAATACTTTCCATCTACGTCAGACCCACTACTTAGATTATACGCTGCTGATTACACCTCGATGGCGCTCTACAATAACGGTACAACTCAAACTATAACAATTTTTAGTGAAGCCATTTAAAGTTGTCGCGTTTCATAATTTGCAGTAATTCTGTTGGTAGCTTTCAAATTATGAGTTATCCTTGGAACTGGATCAGTCAAGGATAAGTGACATGACCTGAATTCGAGAAAAAATGTTTTAAACATTTGGACTGACTTTAATGTTAACCTTATAGGGAAACCAAAATATGTTCGTCTATAACTTTTTAAATAGCCTAGCTGGCGAGATGGGGATTTCACGTACTACAGCAAGTGGTGAATATTAGGCACGGATGAGACAAGGATTGCAGACATGAGCCACTTAACAGTAGTAAGAGTTTTTATTTTTTTGAATTTTGAATTGTGTGTGTTATTGCAGAGGACCAACGATATGTACATAAGTATGTATGTAAAATTTAAAGTTACTTTAATTGGTATTAACTTTATCGCTTAACTTTGCCTCACTTTCAATTGTGAAACTTTTTTGCAATTGCGAAAATGGCAATTAGCGGCCGGCCGGCCACCACGCTTTCGCCAGTCTCTGCTTGTTGCGTTGTTGGCTGTCAATCCATTTCAAGTTGAGCTGAGCTGATTTTGAGTTGAGTTGAGTTCTGTTGAATTGTTTTTTTAATTGTGACAACTTTTTGCAAGCGTTCAAAAAACTTTTAATTATGTTCAAATGTTTGTGTGTCAGCACGTTGCTGCGTTGCCGCCTACGGGCAAGGTGGGTAAAAATAATTTCCGCCGCATTACTGAAGTTTCCATTCGCAGCGAAGCGTACTATCCCTCAGCATTTTTGAAGGTCAACTGGGCGGTTTCATTGCACCGCTTCACTTTTCATTTGGACAGATTCAACCTTTTTTTGATGCAAATTATCAATTTAAGAGGCGATGACAAAAAGGATATGTGAAAATAAAAGCAACATTGATGCTGTTATGTTAATTAAGGTCATTATATGTATGTAGGTAGTCTTGCAATTTGTGTGTTTTGTTTTATTATAATGCCACAGTAGCACCGCCTTTTTCTGATCTACGCGCTATTCAAATATTTACATAAGTACATATGTATGTAGTACATGTCTATACGTATGCAGGTACATACATACATATGTCCATACGTACATGAAATGTGTGCGCTAGCATGCGCTCCCAAAAAAATGGCCGCGCCCAAGCAAGTTCATACTTCAGCTGCGCCTCCAGCATTTATCACACCACAAAGCTTTTGTCATAAACTATCAGCTTTTATATGTACATAAAATAAGATATCAAACCTGCGCGCAGCAACAACCATAACAAAAAAAACCAAAAAAAAAAACTACATAACCTTTTCTCTGTAATCTCGCTTTTGACGTCCCGTGATTATGTAATCGCTTTCGCATGCCCTGCCTAACAGCGGGCGGGTGTGTGTGTGTGCATGTGTGAATATTAAGAATTTTGCTGATAAGCTTCTTGTACTTGCCAGCTGGTTAGCGAATAGTCACCGTGTAGCTCGCTCCATATTCGTTCCTTGTAAGCCGCGGCCTTCCAACGGTGGTGGTGAGTGTTGTCGTCGAGTTTCTCTCAATCGTTTGAAGAAGTGTCTTTGAAGAGTTGAAGAAAACTGAAATTCGATTTGGTCAATGCATATGCATGTAGATACATATGCACATACATACATACATACCTATGTACATATGTACATTGTATATACTTAACAAATTTGTGACATCAAAAGTGAACTATAACAGGGGAAGGGGCGGACGGCGTTGCTGTTAATTTTGAAACGCTTTTTGCATTTAATATTTTTAGCCACCGTGTGGATCGATGAAAATAAAATGCAAGAAATTACATACTAAAAATGACAATCGATTTCTTTGACATTTTTAATTACATACATGATACTTTCACAAATACTTAGTTCGAAATGTACAGTAAAAAGCTTCTTTCTCAGCTGACGTGCCTTTTCTAATTATATGCGGCTATAAGTTGTTCACAAGTTTTTTTTAGAATAAAAATGAATGCGGCCTAATAATTTCAGTTGTACGCCATATTTCATTTGCACAGTTATTTTTCCTTGTGTACACATTCTTTGAAGTTCCAAAATACCGAGAAATACTGCGCCTCATTGGCCTTCAAATAATTGTGATGGCGATGTGATAATGATCCTTTTGCACTTCAAGGCTAAGTCAGTTGCTACTGCTGTCTGTCGAAAGTAAATAAGTATGACTGGCGGTGGCTTATTTGTGTTTTTAGTCTTACAAATTCTCCGGCTACCTACCGGCTATGCTGTGTCACCCACCGCCCGCAACGCGTACTAAGCGCAAACTTGGCAAATTCTCTGCGGCGTAATTTATTCCGCTGCGCTCGGGATTTCTGCGCTTTCAATTATGAATTTCCAATTAGTTTTGTTTAAATTAATGTGGTTTGTTGGTGCACAATACTTGTTTAACGTAAACTCAGTTGTTGTTCTTGAGGCTCATGTTGAAAGACGTTTTTGGTTATACATACAGACATAATATGTATTACATATGTACATATGTATGTATGTATGTAAAGTGTGTAAGCTTTGTAGGAGGATAAGCGAACTGGTCTTAAAGAGTTAACGAGTCTCATTTTCGAAACAAAATATTCTCATCCCGAATGCTCTTCATATACATACATACATAATTTGCCATCTTCCAAATTCTAATCTACTACATATTTTCATTTATCATTGCAGATAGTCACACTGTGAGCGGCGCATTCAGTTTTAGAAACCCTGCGTTGTAATCTCTCTTGGCGGTTTGATAGGAAAACCCAGCTTCAGTTTTTTTCTTTAAGCTCAGCGTAAGCAGCAAGCAAAACAAAACACATCAAAATGTCTACAGTCGACAAAGAGGAATTGGTCCAAAAGGCAAAGTTGGCCGAACAATCTGAAAGGTGAATTATTCTAGCCATAACATAAATAAGTAAATGGTGTATTTTATTAACAATGATTTTTTTTATATATTTTCAGATACGATGATATGGCTCAGGCTATGAAATCAGTCACAGAAACCGGTGTTGAACTGTCAAATGAGGAAAGAAATTTACTCTCCGTTGCATACAAAAATGTTGTTGGTGCCCGCCGGTACGTCTCTTTCTTATTTACTTAGCTTTTATGATTTGATAACTGAAAGATATGTACATATAAGTATGGGAACAGAATTGTGAGTGCGCGCGGTCTGCTTCATAGATTGCGTGTGAATTTTAGCGAATAGAATTAATTAATTAAATAGATATAACGGCTGTAACATGAATTCGTATTTTTAAAAGTCCGAGCAATATTTTAGAAGTCTAAGTTTTTAAGTGTAAAGCAGTTTCGCAAACATGTTTTACGAATGTCATACTCCTAGTTTTGTAGAATAGCTAAAATGTGGCTTATAATATAGTTAAGAATTTAGTAATAAGATAGTAAGATACTATATATGTATAAAAGTTGGCTAGTTTTTACGGTATCAAACACTTTTTTATATTAATGTACGAATCTCTCAATTTCTTCTCAGATCATCGTGGAGAGTAATTTCATCAATCGAGCAAAAAACTGAATCCTCCGCCAGAAAACAACAGCTCGCCCGCGAGTACAGAGAACGCGTGGAGAAGGAACTTAGGGAAATTTGTTACGAAGTTTTGGTAAGTTTTTTTTCCGTGTGCAGTTTTTAGATACTGTTTTCATGTTTCAGTCATAAAAAATTAGTAGTACTGATTAAAGCACAACGAAAATATATTTCCACACTAATCCATTCGCCCGGTGCTGGAGTACATACTTTATTTTTGTAGAGTTTCAGAATAATTTAAATGTGATATTATACATATATGCACATATATGCATATTTTTCGTTTTTTTCCGGCTGATGAAGGGTGCAGATAGCGATTTTGTCACATAAAATTTGCTCATCGATACGTGTCAGTGAAAATTATGTTTTTTTTTTTGCATTTTTTGTGCTCAGGAGTTTTTAATACATGAAATTTTCTTATACAACTTTACCAAACGCCATACAAGCGTTTGATCGAGCTTCAACCAGAAAATAAAAATTGCGATTTTTGTTAAAATTTCCCTCAAGTGGTCTGTCAAATACGGTCGCTGTTATGCAGAAATTGTGTTTGGCAACACCAAATTAACGGCAGCTTGGTCCAACAAACTCTCGCTCTCTCCTCGAGTTTGTTGCAACAACAATTGCACGCAGTTTGCCAGTGTTATATCTCATTTTGCGGTTTCTCTCCTTACAAATTGCTTATAAGATTTTGATTTATCACTTTTACTTATCAAAACTTTTTCACTTCAGCTTTCTTTTTATAAAATTGCAGTCTTTGATTTTAATCTCTAGATTAAAAGTTTTTGTTCAGCAATTTTTTCTCCAACAACTAGGTTTAAAATACACGATGAGTCGCGAAATATATCTAACAACTGATATCGAAAGTTGCCAAAAATCTCCCTAACATGAAGAATTTGGCACTAAACCTAATTTGGTCGAGGATTGAGTTTTACTTTTGTCACATTCTTTAAAAAAAAAAAAAAAAACGTGAAAAGAAAATACCAAATAGTAGCGCCAATGGGTCGTTTTAGGTGTTTGTTAGAGAATTGAATGAGCTTTAAAACAGTATCTACGAAGACAACTTGTTGAGAATCTAGTAAATGCACCAAACAGGTAAAATTAAAAATATGTTGAGCTTATTCTGCTGATTGGCAGTGTTTATATTTAATTAACTTAAAATTTAGTATTTCAAACAATCCTTAAAGAACCCGCAGGCCTTCGTTAATATCGTAAGCGCCATTTTACTTTTAGAATATAAGGTATGCAAAAAAATAAATAGTCCTATTAGAAAGCAGCATTCAATAATGTTGTTGTCCATTTAAATCCAAATAAATTTTCACACTATTTAAGGGAGAATAAAAAAATCTGTACTGTGAAATTTACCCTTTGTCGCTTACGATAAAATCGAAAATAGGGGTCGATATATACATATGATCCTGGAATTTTGCATTCAATATTCCACCAACTTCCCGATGAGCTAGAGACTTAGGAACTGCAAAATTACCTCATAACACGATAACAATGCAATATGAAAGATGAAATAATCCGTAAGGTGGTGCAGGAATCGAGACACTGGGAAATCCCGTATTTATGGTCCGATTTGGTTCATACTTCGAATGCTTGTTTTAACAAGTAATTTTTAAGCAAAAAAACAAAACCGTCTTCAATTCTCATATACAAATTTAAGACTACCGTTAATTTCTTCACGATCCAATGATCGGATCTGAACTAAAATAGTATGGGTCCACCTTTCCGTTAAAAAAGGAATTATAGAAGTCGGTTAACGTGGTCCAAAGTTATTGTTTTTCAACTAAAATATCAGATTGGAGTGTACTTTCTTGGCATATGTAAATTAAAGCTTTTTGAGCTGTGAATGCAAGTAAAACTTCACACCAAGCTGATATGTAAACATTTAATATAAATTAATAGTCATCCTTATCATGAATATTTTGGTGAAAAATTTCACAGGCAAAAATTTCGTTCACCGAAACGTTCACTTTATCATGAAGGTGGAACAATTTCGGGTGAACGAAGTAGGTAACAGGTGAATACGGTATACGATAGCGTGGAAATGATTCGAAGTGAACTACTCGCTTGCTGAATATTCAACATACAATAGGAAAGCTACATGGGCGAAATGTAAACGAGTTCACACGAAATGAAAAATAAAACTTTCTGAATATGAACCAAATCGGACCATAAATACGTGTTTTCCAGATACCTCAACTCTTGCGCCATCTATCGGCAAAATTTTTGTGGTGTTATTCCTTTTAATGTAGGTAATACATATATATTACAAACATCAACTAAATCAGACCATAGGTCCAGTGTTTCGAAATAATTCGACCGCAGCATCACCTACTGGCTAAATTTTTTGTGGAATTATTTCCTCGCATGTAGGTGATTATGTGTGTATGTGCATATCGTATCTACCAAATTCAATACCACGATTGAGGTGGCACAGAAAAAAATTTATTTTGGTTGCCGTCTCAATGCTTGTCTACTTCACAAATTTATTGTTGAATAACTATAGTAGAAATTCATATTTAGTATCTAGATTCGTTTAGAAAACCATTCAAAAGTTTTGAAGAAAATCTGTTTTTTTTTGCTCTTTTGAAACATTTTCGAATTATCTTATACGTGGTATTGCAAGCGACTATGTATTATCAAAGAATAAATTAAGTTAAAATAAATACATATACCAAATTATTTACGTTTTTTTTTTTATAAGCAAGCAACATTCTTGCAACGGTATTGACATTAACATTAACTCGATAAAATAGAAGGCGAATGGGAATGTCAAGCGATAATTAAACAATAGCAAAAACAACATATTACTTGTGTATGTATGTATATTCACTCGTCAATTTAAACTAGGCTATAAAAAAGTGGCATAAGTTGAAATAATGAATGGCGCAGTTGGCTAGCGCCTAACAGCTGGTTTTTCATGTATATATGTATGTATGTATGTACATTCATATGTAGATGCAATTGTAAATGTCACACCGTTCTGTGCATCTTCCGGTTTCTTACCTTAAATCCATAGCCCACAAATTGCTGCACCAGCCATTACCTTTTGAAGGCTCCACACCCTGCTGTGTGCGGCTGGTAAGCACTTAGCAAATATTAAAAAAAAAACCATCATTAAAAGCCTCGGCAATGAAATTCATTGAAGTATTTACATATTTACATATATATGCCTATACTTATCCTTATACCGTTTCTGAGCGTTGGAGCAATTGTCTCGTTTGTCATTGCCCCATCGACCTCAAACGTCCTACCTAATATAACTACTTTTCATTAAATTTTACTTTCGATTCCGATAATTTACTATGATTATGATGCCTTTTTGCTTGCTCTGCAAGTCTTCTGTGTTAGAATGGTTTAGTGATTAGAATAGAAGTGTTCGTTCGCGGCATATTTTCCAACAGTCTGCTTG